TGTAACATTTTCAACTATCATATCACCGTATGATTACCATTGCCTTCGTCTCCAAGATAATCTCATGGACGGTGTGTGTGAAAGCTACTGAGTTGATCGACCAAACTTTAACACCAATATTTTCCCTTTTAGGTTTAGCTTGGCAGGAATAACTTTTTTTCGGTAGTGATTCATTTTACCTTTTAAAAGACTTAAATATTTGTGATCATTACGCATTCAATAATCGCCGTGAAAAAATTTACCCTTTTTTTCTGGGTGCCTCCTTAGCTCAGTGGTTAGAGCACTGGTTTAGTAAACCAGGGGTCCGGAGTTCGAATCTCTGACGAGGCTTTCGACATTTTCCATTTAAACGTAATAAGTATCTACAAACATGAGCGAGTTTTTTGACCGGCTTCTTGTATGTAACGATACTGAACAATGTGTAACGGATATCAGATAATAGATTAACATTAAAAATAGACTAACACTAATGGAATAAGGAAAAGTAGCTTGCCGCGGACGTACCATTGCAAGTGCTTCCAAGATTAATATAAAAATAACCGTCAATATATAAATATAGCATTTTAGATAAGTAAAGGAAGCGTACACGCCCGTTAGGACGTGAGTATAAATAACAAATGTAAACTATTGAATAACAGAGTTGGATTTAGACCTGTTGTGTGTTTGTGTGTGTGAAGTAAGCTCGGCTCGTTACAAATTTTAAATTTATGGCTTGTTCTTAAGCGATGATTTAAAGCCTTAAACGGTCGGTTAGCTCCTTGTAAAATGACACATCAAGCTCGTACTAGTCAAAATAACAATGCATTCTTACAGCAAACACTGAATAAGCAAAATATAGACACCTACCACTTCAAAGATTATAGACTGCGAGTCGTTCCTATTTCACCAACTGTTTCTGTGCTGTGATGATCTTTAAATCTTTTATTATTGTTTTATTTGACTCCATGATTTCATTTGATATTTTTAAAAAATACTTTGCAAAATGACGTTAAAATGCTCACGCTCTCATGCATGCTTTCTTTTTGTCTTAGCCAATCAGCAAGTTGTAGACGACCGTTCTTTCTTTGTTCAAATTTCGCGCATGCGCACAAGTACCATGACCATTGAACGTCCATGACATTTGGGCAACTTTGGATTCCTCTATGTTCTGTCAGAATACCCGGGTGTAATTCCTAATCTCCGGGCGGAATTAGTACCCTCGAACGGTGCTCCGCACCGGCTCGGGGATAATTCATTGTGTTTTTTGGTGTTCTATTGTTATCATCAACCAATGGCAAAGCTTGTTCATATAGGCACAGAATACCTTACAGAAGTGGAACTCCTGTACTTTTTTCGTAAGTGTGATTCGTCATGATTCGTCACTTAGCAAGTGCATTTTTTTGAGGTAGTCACCCCCCTGCCAATATCAAATATGGCTTGATTTTGGACACTGGCAGGGGGGTGACTACCTCAAAAAAATGCACTTGCTAAGTGACGAATCATGACGAATCACACTTACGAAAAAATAGTATAGAGTTCCACTTCTGGTAGGTATTCTGTGATATAGGTAACGTACCTAACCCTTAAACTTGGGCATAGTAAATAAATAGATGAATAGTGTCAAGAGATGCAGAATGAGTGCAAACGTGTTATAAAAAGTGTTTTTTACGATAATTTAGAACAGTCTTAATTTATTTCACCAGTAACATCACTATATCAAGCATGTATTTGATATAAAACCGCGCGACTCAGCTGCTAGTTGCACAGTGATATTGTCTTCACTCTTCAATGAAATAATGATAATTTTTTTCTTATCATTTCTATAAAATTGCTTTTAATCTCAGCGATTATTATTTCGACTTCTAACCAGGGCTTGCTGGTCTATTGGTATGATTCTCTCTTCAGGTGCGAGAGGTCACGGGTTCAATTCCCGTGCAAGGCCTGGTTGTTTGGCGTCGTGTATTTTTTCCGCACAGAATACAGTATACCCCAAACACACTAGGGAGGTTAAGATCTACTTCCACTACCAGTACCGATACGAAAATACATGACGTATTACAGTTTGGTAGCGCGGAAATTTTAAAGCGTTAAGATTGTGACTTCCGTAAAAAGTAAATAAACATGGCGGAGTATAGCGGCTGTATTCACATCAAAAACTCTAATCACAATCCTTAAGTCACACCAAACAAAGCAGAAACATTATACAACTAAAACCTAAATAATATTATTAGAAAACTACTGCAGGAAATGACAATAATACAGTAAATATATTTCGGTACTTCGCCTACCTATCCATTTTCAGCCCCAGAACGGTACTCGCGACTTCCAGTGTTGTCACATTTTGGACGATTGTTACATGTGCGCATACGCGTGACTGATTATTGGTATCGGTACTCGTAGCGGAAGCCTATCTTAACCTCCCTACTCTCATGCACTCAGTAACTTATTCTCAAGGTGGCTCCCTACAGCTTTAAGAATATTGAAAACTAATGATTTAGATTGAAATTTTTGTATTTTTGTATTCTCACGAATACATTTTTTTAGCTTTGTGAAAGCAAGAACATGCAATTTAAACGCGGAGACTTGTTAATTTTGTTATGAGAAATATTAACAGCAATTTACTCGGGTTTTTGACTTATTGTGGTTGTGAACAAATGTATGCTTGAGACTCTCCAATTATTATCTAATTATTTTGAATCTTTCGCACTTATATTTCATTCCCGATAAACGAGGGGTGGTTTTTTACTTCCAAGTGGGACAAATGCTTTTAAATTTTGAATAGCTGCTATTGTACTATCAATTATTTATCGATGCTGTGAAAAAAATACAGTTTGGGATCAAAAACTGGCATTTATCGTGCAGAAAGGAGACGAGACATGGCAATGGCGACATAATTGATGAAATGTCAAGGGACACAAAAATGAAAAAATATTACATGGCACTACTTCAAAACCCATCGGCGATTGGTTGAATAATTCTTTAGTCTACTAGAATCGTGCTAAAGTACAGTGTTTGGATGGTGCTTGCGACGGACGGCGAAAAACGGCGATCAAATTTGCAAAATATGGCTGAAATCGTGTTATAGCGGGGGGTAAGTAAAATGAAATATGTCGTATGGCAAAATTTTTTAGAAAATAGGGAAAATTAGATTTTGCCAGGTGAATCTGTAATTTTATACATAATTAGCAATTGACCTGGAATAGTAAACATTCATTTTCTTGTAAAATATGAAACTTAGGCTAATTTCACCCTCCAGTGACCACCCCTAAAAGCAATCATTCTGAACCATATAAACAATTCAGAAAGACTGTAGCTTTGATAATTAAGGATTAAGAGCTATGTCGACTACTCTGGGTGTGGTCATTTTCAAGACTTTCGTCCCGGATTCACATTTTGGCACATATGCCATGTTGACCACCATGGTAATTTTACCCTAAAACAGTTGAGATAATCTGTCCTAAATGAAACGCATACAAACTCCTTTACAGGTCCTAGACTATCTGAAACGATAACGCAGGGGGTGGACTTGAAGCCGACTTTGTGCTTAGTTTGCAGGTAGACGCAGTCTTTTTAAAATATTTTTGTAAAAAATAAACATTTTTAAATCGATGAAGTTTTCATATTAAATCTTGCACTAGCTTTGTATAATATACGTAAACCCGAAGAATGATGACTGAATTTCTGAAATATGCAATCAGATTATATTTAACAAAAATGCTACCGTTACGAAATAATATTGAAGTAAACACGAAAATGACAAAAAAAAATCGCGCGTTTTTTGCGTTTTTTCTGAGTTTTTGAAAGTTTGAGGTACACCTAGATCTTCAAATTACCAAAATAGTGTAGATTGTTCTTAAACACACCTACTTTCTTAGTTTGGGAAAATTTGGGCCCTTGTGGAGTGAAAAAAACGAAGTTTAATGGGGATAGAAAAAACGCATTTTTTTGTCAAAAAACGTAATGTATTTTTACTCTATTCGGGTCATACTCAAGACTGCAATTGCCATACGTGGTGTCCAAAACTCCATAGCTTCCCAAATTGAGAGTAGTGGAGAAAGGGCAAATGAGGACCCGGAGAATGTCCGAATTTGGTTATCAGCAAACAATCTTAATTTAGACATTGCTAAAAGTGAATATGTTTTGATTGGATCATCATAATTATAAGATAAATAATTTGAATGTTCAACCATCAATCAAAATTGATAATCAATTAGTAAGAAGACTTAAACATACAAAAGCGCTAGGAGTACAAATAGATGAACACTTAAATTGGAAGAAGCACATTTACTTTATTGCAAGTAAACTCCCTCGGCAGGAATTGGTGCTATTAAAAAGGCTAGGGAGTTTGTTGATCGGAATACTTTAGTCTTGATATACAATGCCTTAGTTCAGCCTCATTTTGATTATTGTTGTGAAGTTTGGGATGTGATAGGTAAGACGCTTAGTGATCGTCTTCAAAAGTTGCAAAATAGGGCGGAACGAACTTTAAAAATGAGTCTGGGTAATCTTTACTAGAACGCATTGCACTGGGTTAGATAACCCTTGAAGCGGATAAAATCCAGACTTATGTTTAAAACGATTAATAATCTAGTTCCTCGAAGATTGAGAGATCTATTTCAACATTCTAATACGATGCATGATTATGATTTGAGAGGGTCCTCAACTATGTTATGTCTTCCCAAGCCAAGGACGAATTACTTGAAAAAAGTTTTAGCTACAACGGTGCTTATGTCTGGAACCAAATTCCGGAGGACATAAGAACGTTGTCATCTTATAATATAATTCATTTTGTGAAAAGCTTTCCTCCTCTCCATTGATCTTATATATATAGTTTATACTTTCATGTTTATATTATATGTTTATAAGTATTGTACGTATATTGTAGATAGATTAAAGGGGTGGGTGGGGTTTGATTTGGTAAAGTAGTGCACACCCCTTTTGAAAACCAGCTTTATTGTTGAAAAGATTTTGTGTGTGTAAATAAAGTTTGAATGAATCAATGAAATCCGATGGGAATTGCATGCGCTAGCGGAGAATCGAACCCCATACAGTCTCCCGCGTGGCAGGCAAGAGTTCTACCACTGAACCACTAGCGCAACGCCACATATAGCGGTCAATTTCGGCAATCATCTTACTCCGCTGTATGAAACATATTTTCAATCAACGTCTTATGTTTTACAGGAGTTCATTATCACTGGTGCGTATATTTTGCGATGCATGTTCAAGAAAATGTTGGCATTACACACATAAATTAGGTCCCATTATTTGAATGAATTAACAATTATTTAACAAAGACTGATTCATCAATAATGAAGGCGGCCGTTATCAGCCTTCGATAGCTCAGTTGGCTGAGCGGGGGACTGTAGATAAGTAAGCACACATCCCTAGGTCACTGGTTCAAATCCGGTTCCAAGGATAGTTGTATGGAAAATATTTTGAAAAATATTTACTTGCCTACGTCAAATTGATGTACTGGCAATGGAGTAGAAATTTAATAAGTATATGTATCCATATTTATCATAACCTGACATTTTGAAATTGCCCAGTATGCTCCGTTGTTTTGTGCAGCTAGGCAACTAGGTGGATGATCGAAAGCGCGTGAAGAATATGAATAGACGTTCTGACCTGTATGCCGAAATAGCACAGGTGGGAGAGCGTCAGACTGAAGATCTGAAGGTCCCTGGTTCAATCCCGGGTTTCGGCAGGAACTAATTTGAAATATTTTGCCGGTTAGCTTGGTATGTCTGCAAAATATTGAAAATAACGCTTTCATCTTGAGGTTTTGGCAAATAGTTTGTTTGGATAATTAAATGTAAAAAAAAACAAAAAAGATATGTGTCATTGTAACAATGGATTTCAATGCGTTACAGCGGCTTTGAGGGATTAGCTCAAATGGTAGGTAGCGGGATCGATGCACGCATCCTCCATATTTTTTCCCTATATAATCAATTAAAAACACATTAAATTCTCAAAAACGCAACTCAACTTTATTCGTTCAAAATATGCACCTGCAGGAATTTCAGTGGGATGTCACTGGGAGTATTGGACAATATTAAAGAACCCACAGTAATAATACAATTGTCTTTAATTAATGCACAAAATTGTTAGTACATGTCATCTCAATTCATAGACCTTTTTAAAATAGAAAATGTGCTTGCTTATGTAATTAATTTTTATTATTTTCCCTTGTTTAATTGTAGCACTTGTATTATTTTGTACTAAAACTACACAACAATTCAACTTGACTGTAACTATTTCAAAAAAGATTTACTATGGTGGGATTTCTTAAACAGAATTGCCAAAGTATGGAGCAGGACAAATAATTCGTTATGAATATAATCAACATATAAAATATTTATTACACCATTAACAGTGAAATATTGAACCACCTACCCAAATTCTATCTATATAATGTACATCAATGTACATCACAATGACAATGCAAACATCGCATTTATACTATGAGCTTGTAATCGCTTTGTCTTTTACCTCAAGGAATTAAAACTGTGAGTAGCTGTCTCATGATTCGTGACATGGAAGCGTTTACAGGTTTTAATCACGCCAAATGGGCCAAACAAACTCGCACTGACGCACAAGCTGCACATTCCCCGAAGCCATTCCATTCCCCGGCTCATTCCCCGAAGCCATTCCATTCCCCGGCTCATTCCCCGAAGCCATTCCATTCCCTTCCATTCCCCGTTCCATTCCCCCATTCCCCGTTCCCTGTTTTAAAGATAGCCGTTGGTAGAGCGGAACCGCGCGCCTTCTAGAAAAGTGTGGGAAAATTTTAAAATATACATAGGCCTCTGAAATGGCCGCAAATGCCTCTCAATTTAAGGATTAATGGAAAATGATAGATACTTTATGAAGTTCCCAGCATTTTTGGCGCTCAACAATACAACCATGCTTTGATTATGATGCGAAGTAATCAGTGATGCTTATGATGCTAAGTAAGATTCTGGTGCTATGTAAAGTTTCAACCATGTTTGGTGCTCATGTACAAACATCGATATAAAGTTGCAACTTGCAAGCATCGAATATTATCAATTGTGCATATATTTTGAGATGCATGTTCAAGAAAATGTTGGCATTACACCCATAAATTAGGTCCCATGTTACACGAGTCAAGCTCAGAAATTATATTTTTAATTTCGTAAATAGTGATCTATCTTTTACCGATTGCTGGAAAAGATGTACGGAAAGGCAGCAACTGGGGGTGTAGCAGATGTGGCCGTGTATAGCAGTTTGCACAGGATTGAAAATTTAATATAACTATATAAGCACGAATTCCAAAGGCAAAGTGTAAGACAAAGTGAATATATATCATGCGGTTTATTTACATTTTTGAACAATTGAACTTCTATACTCTTTAAAGTACGATGTGCTTCTGAATTTCGCGATCCAACAACATTTACGCTCGCAAGGCATCTAAATGAATATGAACTGTATTGTTTATGTTCAGAAGCTTTATATTAAAGACTGGCACGTGCGCGCCACGCCGGAGTTAACGCCAGAACAGGCGTTTTTTGAGTTCAGGCTTTTCTCTTATAGCTCATATTCGACTCTTAATAATGTGCGTGTATAGACTATACATCACAGCGGTCAGATGTGTATGATGAGCTGTCAAAAATTGCGAATACGTATTGGGAGAAAAATTGAACTTTTTTTGCTATTCAAAAGGTTTCTCTTTGATAGCGGTACGGAAATACACAATTGTGAACCAGCGATTAGATTTCCGGGTTGAAATGTCAATTTCTGCCGTGTCGTTCAGTAGATGCTAAGGTTCTGTGGTGTAATGGTTAGCACTTCGGACTCTGAATCCGGGAATCCGAGTTCAATTCTCGGTAGAACCTTGCTGGAACTATTATTTTTATGTCTTTATATAAGTTTTTGAGTTCTGGATTATCTCTTATATAGCCCATTTCAGAAAAAATATATGTTTTTGAATGGTCTACTGAGCTTTAACAGCAAATGGTTTCGATGCATTGGCCGGGCTTGCAGGATAAATTATATAGTTGCTATACAGGGTGTATCAAAAAAAAGGTAATCCAACTTTGGTGCGCTATTGTACGTGAACTACTCATTCTATTAACGAATTTTTTTCACATTCCGAAAGGATATGCTTTTAACTATCGAATGACATGTTTTTGATACCAAATGGTGAAAAAATGAGCAAATAGGAGGCTGATAAAAATTGTTAGTCGAAATCGCATATTTTCACCTCTGAGAGTTGGGACTAAAACCATTGAAAATTAACTCTCTTTGGGACTTTTGCTTTTCAATAAACTACCCGCATATGCATATTAAGTAGGAATGAGGAGAACATTCCAAGCAATGCGGCATAAAACCAGTGCAAGCTGTGACATGTTCATGATTAATTGTTTTTTTCTTTTGTTATGCACTGCTTTAATTAGGCTCAAAGGTGAAAATATGCGATTGCGACTAATATTTTTTATCAGCCTCGTATGTGCTCACTTTTTCACCATTTGGTATTAAAAACATGTCATCCGATAGTTAAAAGCCTGATCTTTCCGAATGTGAAAACGATTCGCTCATAGACTGAGTAGTTCACGTACAATAGCTTGTTGAAGCTGGATTACCTTTTTTTTGATACACCCTGTAGTTCCCTATATACTTTTGTAAATACAAAAGTATGCAAAAGCCTCATCAGAGAGTTGAACCCTGGACCCCTGGTTTACAAGACCAGTGCTCTAACCACTGAGCTAATGAGGCGTAAGTGCAAGCTAACACGAAAATAATTATATGAATACTTTATCTTAATAATGTGCATGTGCGCGTAGCAAACTCAGTAAGTTTGATAGATTTTTAGGGTCTGTGATGTAATGGTTATCACTTCGGACTCTGACTTCGAGAATCGGAGTTCAATTCTTGGTAGAAACTCTTTGAAAACATTCATTCTCCGTCTTTATGTATTTTTTTATTTCAGGCTTTCTCTTACACGTATCTAAGAATATAGCATATGACAGGTATGCTGCATGGAACGCTCAGAGAGATTAGCATACAGTGGTAGAGCATCCGACTACAGGTTGACAGGTCACTGGGGTCAGTGGTTCAACTTCGCTCGCTCCTTCCTGTTCTATAAATTAAAGAAAAATTAAATATTTTTATGGTACCAATTAGTGCATGAAAAATCTATATTATATTTGTAAACCAGGGCTCCATACCTGGAATAGGGGGAATATATGTAAATACTTCATCTTAATTATGTGCGTGTATATAGACTATACATCACAGCGCGGGTCACGGGTTCAGATGTATATATATGATGAGTCGTCAAAAAATTGCAGAAAACGTATTCGGAAGAAAAATTGAACTTTTTCATGCTATTCAAAAGGTTTCTCTTTGATAGCGGTACAGAAATACACAATTGTGAACCAGCGATTTGATTTCCGGGTTGAAATGTCTCAAACACCAATATCTGCTGTGTCTTTCAGTAGATGGTTAGGTTCTGTGGTGTAATGGTTAACACTTCGGACTCTGAATCCGGGAATCCGAGTTCAATCCTCGGAAGAACCTTGCTGGAACTGTTAATTTTATGTCTTTATGTTAATTTTTTAGCTCTGGTTTTCTCTTATAGCCCATTTGAGAAAAAATATATGTTTTTGAAAAAGATTTCGAAAAGATCTTATTTATTGAAATGATAACTTTAGCAGGAAATGGTTTCGATCCATTGACCTCTGGGTTATGGGCCCAGCACGCTTCCACTGCGCCACCCTGCTTGCTACACACTTCTCCTATGCTATGAATATAAAACTTGTGCTATTTCGAATAAGGTAAGAACAGCAAGAAATGTTCTTTCAGGAGAATAGCATCAAACAGGTATGCACGATCAGGGAGTGTAGCTCAGTGGTAGAGCATTCGACTGCAGATCGAGAGGTCAGTGGTTCAACTCCGCTCGCTCCCTTCTCTTTTATCAATGAAAAAAAAATCCATCATTTTTATCGAACTAATTAGTGAATTAAAAAACCCAAATTTATTTTCGTTGCAACAATCCGTTTGCTTGATAAATAATCCTTGCAGTTTAGTGTTTTTTCAATGACTCTCTGGGACACATGCATGTTCTATAAATTTGTAAAACGGGAGTTCAGTAATTTTTCTAGGTGTTTATGTCCTGTGGTTGTAAATACAAAAGTATGCAAAAGCCTCATCAGAGAGTTGAACTCTGGACCCCTGGTTTACAAGACCAGTGCTCTAACCACTGAGCTAATGAGGCGTATGTGCAAGCTTAACACGAATATAATTATATGAATACTTTATCTTAATAATGTGCATGCGCGTAGCAAACTACATAATTATATACTATGCAGCCAACATTCGTCAGTACGTTTGATAGATTTTTAGGGTCTGTGGTGTAATGGTTATCACTTTGGACTCTGACTTCGAGAATCGGAGTTCAATTCTTGGTAGAAACTCTTTGAAAACATTCATTGTCCGTCTTTATGTATTTTTTTATTTCAGGCTTTCTCTTACAGGTATCTAAGAATATAGCATATGACAGGTATGCTGCATGGAACGCTCAGAGAGAGTAGCATATAGTGGTAGAGCATCCGACTGCAGGTTGACAGGTCACTGGGGTCAGTGGTTCAACTCCGCTCGCTCCTTCCTGTTCTATAAATTAAAGAAAAATTAAATATTTTTATGGTACCCATTAGTGCATGAAAAATCCCAATTTATTTTCGTGGGAAAAAGCCGTACGTTTGATAAACAATCCCTGCAGTTTAGGTTTTTTGAATGACTCTCTGGGACACATGCATGTTCTATATTATATTTGTAAACCAGGGCTCCATACCTGGAAAAGGGGAATATATATAAAAATACTTCATCTTAATAATGCGGTGCAAAAAAAGCAGTGCTAAACTCAAGTTGAAATCTCCAGATAAACTTTTTCCATGCAGTATCAATCCTATCAATATACATGCAAGGAGGAGATCTAGTATGCATAAATGTAGGCTTTGTAGACCCTATCAATCATCATAAAAATTATACAAGTACTGAACATCAGGAAAATGAATTCGTGCGACTTTTTTATAGTGCGTTGCACATTTTTCATAACTCAAGAATAATTTGTAATTCAAAAATAACACTGTAACATTTTCCACTATCATATCACCGTATGATTACCATTGCCATCGTCTACAAGATAATCTCATTAACGGTGTTTGTGAAAGCAACTGAATTGATCGACCAAACTTTAACACTAATATTTTCCCTTTTAGTTTTAGCTTGGCAGGAATAACTATTTTTCGCCGATGATTCATTTTACCTTTTTCAATAGTATTACGGGTTTGCCTTATTAGCTCAGTGGTTAGAGCACTGGTCTCGTAAACCAGGGGTCCGGAGTTCAACTCTATGATAAGGCTTGATTTTTTTTAACTGTGTATAGTGAGGGTGAGTAAAAGACTTAAATATTTGTGATCATTACGCATTCAATACTCGCCGTGAAAAAAATTACCTGCAAAATACTTTTTTGAAACATTTGTTTACATTTCTATTTGCGCATGCTTTTTTTCTGGGTGCCTCCTTAGCTCAGTGGTTAGAGCACTGGTCTAGTAAACCAGGGGTCCAGAGTTCGAATCTCTGAGGAGGCTTTCCACATTTTCCACTTAAACTTAATAAGTATCTACGAACATGAACGAGTTTTTTGACCGGCTTCTTGTATATAACGATACTGAACAAAGTTTAGTTTGTTATCGTGTTTACAATAATCGTCTATTTTCTACCATTGCGTTTGTCTTGTCTCGGTACTAACAGTGATTTAAGATTCCTACAAGTCTTTTTTCACTCAGAGTAACTTGGCTTGTAATAAATATGACATAAAAAAGATTTTTATATTTTCCATGCTTGCATGCTATACATCGCTTTTATTGTGAGCGAAGAAATATGCGAAAAAGAAAACTTCCCGTGTTCTGCACTTGGCTTGCTGGTCTAGTGGTATGATTCTCGCTTAGGGTGCGAGAGGTCACGGGTTCGATTCCCGTGCAAGCCCTGTTCGCCTCTCTCGCTTGAACTGAAGAGAACGGCCTTTGAAGACAATTCGCTGGTGGTCTAATTATGTTGTATTTTCTTGAGAAAAAAATGTGGTACGTGTTCTCCTTCAAACTTTAGATGCACTCTCTCAACTTAATCTAAGTATCAACCTCTTACACAGATTGTGCGCTAGGATTTTGCTTCAATGTAATTATATCGACAGTGTCCACGGATGTTTTTCACGGGTGCCTATTTAGCTCTGTGGTTAGAGCACTGGTCTTGTAAACCAGGGGTCCAGAGTTCGCAACTCTGACGAGGCTCTTCACATTTTCCACCTAAACTCAATAAGTATTTGATTTCTATGATAATTCATTGTATTTTATTGTGTTCTATTGTTATCATCAACCAAGAGCAAAGCTTGTTCACATAGGTAACGTATACCTAACCTTTACACTTAGGCATGGGAAATAATGAAACTTCTTGTGTAGGCTCATCTTATATAAGTTCTAATTTGAAATAAAAAAGCGTGTAATATCTTATACTGTAGAGAACAACTAATAAAAATAAAAACTTAACGTCCAGGGCCAAAACTGCTAAGGCTTGAAATCAGAATTAGCAGCCATTAATTGCAGTTGAATTGCTGTCTCGGATATGCTTCTGAATGCTCAATCACTGATGCATGATCTATTTATACGCCCTGTGAACTGCCTGATTTCTATCAATAATCAATTCCTGTGATAAAAGCTTCCGCCAACCGTCACCGCGAGTTCCACGAGACCCTTTGCTTTTTTTTCAGTCTTATTATAATTCCAAAATTCTGCTGGCAATTGAAAAGCAGTTGGGAAGGCCAGGGGCGGATCTAGGATTTTTCGTACCTTAGTCAAAAAGTTTCAGTCAAGAAATTCGGGGGGGGGGGGGTGTTGCAGATGGAACGAGAAAATGACTGTTTCGCCCAATGTCAGGGCTCATCAGCATGCCTAGGAAACGCATGATACTACTAAGATATCTTTGGATTCCGACATGGACAGGCATTTTCACATAAGAGCACATGCAGTTTGTTTTTAGGCGCCAGCACCCGCCTTCAAATCTTTGCACTGGGGTAGAAATCGGTGAATTTAGTAGCAATGATGCTTTACATATTCATCCTTGATTAAATTTACATAGGTGCAACCACAAATACGCTAGTTCGATTGAATATTTTGATGTTTCTTACATCTACTTCGGTCAAAGCAATCAAATTATCAAAAGATATGTTGGATTGAAGATCGGAATTCAGGTTTCTTCTTTACAGCCAGCAGTACATATTGGAACTTTTCGCAGCAATGGCGCAAGAGTGTTATATTCGCAGTCATTCTCTATGATGCTAGCACTCTCGTTTCGCGACCAATTGCGCATTCCAAATTATTTTCAAATAATGATGGCGCAAGAGTGTTGTTTTTTCAGTCAATTTTCTTGCAAGCACTCTCTTTTCGCAGCCAATCGTCGAAGTTGGAACTTTTCGCAGCAATGGCGCAAGAGTGTTATATTCGCAGTCATTCTCTATGATGCCAGCACTCTCGTTTCGCGACCAATTGCGCATTCCAACTTCCATAATACAATCATACATGTACTGTGAAACCTTTAACCCATATATATTTTATTCAAATATGCAGCATAATAGATAATAATTAATAAATTTTCATTTGATGGACAATTAAATCGGTTGATCAAAAGCTTGATAGCTATATACAAAAGAGTTTTAACGTTCAACCTTTAATTAAGAGCTTTTGGTCGAAAAATATGAAATATACACTGTTATAGGATAATTAGGAAAATTTCAACCTGGTGTTTCCTTCTGCAAATTTGTCAATTACTTTCTCAACATCTGGAATTATCTCCTGATGAATTTGCATTAGGGCTAGACCATTCAACCGTTCCTCAACCATAGTACTACGCTGGTAGTTCTTCAGTGATCTCAGTGCCGAAATAGTTCTTTCACACTCACATGAAGTGATGGGCAGTGTTCCTAAAATACGAAGAACAACTTTAATATTTTCAAAACCATCAAAGCTAACAGCTTTTAAAGTTGTTGGAATATTGTCAGGAAGAAGTCCTTTGTAGGTCTCCCAATAAGACGTCCATAATGACAGTTCAGCATCTAGAGCTAAGGGAAAAGGTAGATCATCAATGTAAAAATCGGCAACAACTTTGAATCCATCACGCCAGTCTTTCCCCTTCTCTTTCAAAGACATCATTTTCGTTGGTATAACACTTAATCCTTTATAAACGTTAACACTATCCGTGTCGAATCTGTGTTGTAAAGCAGAATTAATATGGTCAACGAAAGGGATACTTATGATACGCTTATAATACTCCGAGATTGTCTTATACGGAGGATTGGACCTGCTTGTTTGTCTTCCTACTGTCCGTGGCTTGCTCTCTTCTATTCCAACCTTTCGTGCAGCTAAATCAACTGCCTCTGCATACCAGATTTCATGGAAAGTGTCAATGGAATTTCTAAAACTAATAAAATCATTTTTCATAGTGTTAATTAAGTGAATTCCATCCATAATATCAATACTCTTTCCCTGTAGCAATAAAGTAACAGGAAGAAGTCGATCCAGAATATTGTGGGAAATTACCAAAGTTACAATAAATTCAAACTTTCCTATAAGATCAAAAAAATTAGATGCATCAGCAACAAGGTTTGGTCTGTAATTCCCCTCTACATTGTCTCTCATCTCCTTTAATGTGTCATATAAAGGGACGAAAAGTTCAATAAATGTATCCAAACCGGCGATTCTTTCAACCCATCTGGTCCGACAAACATCTACCAGCTTTGTCTTCCGACTTTCTCTCTCAGGATAATTACGGACATTTTCTTCAAAAGGCATGTTGCGTGTCTGGGAAATATTAATGAAATTTGAGACATCTTTAACATGTTTCATCATGGTATTGACCTCAACAACAGTCAAAGAATCACATACAGCTAAATTAAGTCGATGGCTATAACAATGAGTGTAAAGAGCTTTCTCATTAATGCGCAAAATATTAGCTGACAAACCATTTATGTGCCCTGAGACAGCACCTGCACCATCATAGCCTTGTCCTCGACAATCATCAATGGATAAAGTCATGTCATTAAGTGCTTCTAGGATCAGCTTGGCAAGTTGTTCACCACTTAATCCCCATCTACATTCAAGGAAAGCAATGAATTCTTCTCGAATATTCATGTTAATATCTACAAAACGTAAAACAAGAGACATTTGCTCCTTATGAGAAGAATCTGCAGCCTCATCTGCAATGATGGAATAGAATTTACTGGCCTTAATATCTTGAATAATCTGCTCACTTATTACCTGTCCAACACACTTGATAATTTTATTTTGGCTAGTTTTTGAGATATAAGTTTTATTTTTACCACAGTTCTTCAAATGATCCTCTAAAACTCTGTCCCCTGCACGAACTCTAAAATTAAGAGACTCAATAAAATTACCAACTCTCTCTGTAGAGTAACTGCCAACGTCAGGATGGTATTTAGAGTCATCACGGTGACCACGTAATGGTAAACCAAGGCGGCCACAAAAAATTACTGAATCCACAATTGGGGCAAGTTTCTTTCTGTTATCCTCAATCTCTTTCTTGAGGTTGGTATCTAAAATGAGCTCAATAGGCTGCGCCTTCCCTGACATCTGGGAAAGTAAAGATGTTAGTATGGGAAATGTACATGCATGCAGGCCCATTTCTCCTCCTGTACCATGTCCAGCATGATTTTTCAGAGTGTATGATGTACCACTCCAACGACGAAGAGGCTCAGAAAATAAATTTTTAATTTTTAAAGCTTTACCAGGAAAACGATCCCCAAACAGAACACATGACAAGCAGAATGCACCATCCTTCAAAGGGGAATAACAAAGCCAGGGATATAAGTCTAGCCATTCATACCTGAAGCTTCTGCCATTGGTCTTTGGAAAGGAATACTTCTTATCAGGTTTAAAGACATTTCTGATGAGATTGCAGATTTCAGATGAGTTCATACCTCCCACCATGTCCCGGTACATTGCAACATCAAAATTGGTACCATGTGATTCAACCTTTGGTGCATTAGGTGTTATATCAGCTTTTGAGATATTTGGTTTTGTGTTGGTTGAAGTGCTGGGTTTATTGTTATTTAATTGCTCTTTTGGTTTTGAAGCAGATTTCTCTGTCACCTTAAAAAACTTAGAAATGTTAGATGGGGGATTAGAGACCTTTTTCTGAAAAATAGAGTCGGTCTAGGTTTCTTGGCAGTGACTTGTGGACAAGCAGCTGTCGACTTTCTTTCAACTGCTGTTGATGAAAATAAGAGGAACAAAATGATTTGGCTGGATGGTTTTTCCAGCAGTTACAGTACCTTCATAACAAAACAAAATATGAAGATCATCCAAACCTTTCTTTGGAGTTAAGCGTGGTTGAATCATGCGATTAAATAGCAATTTACTTCTTTGTTGCCCACAATCAGGATAATAGGTGAAAGTATTCCTATTCAAAACTGAAGCAAGACCCATTATACAGAGAAAGGATGACCATTTCTTCTCACTGCAATTAAGTATAGCTTCCTGTCTAACCAAGTCATCTTTCATACAACCAGTATCTAAACATTCCTTAGAAACAGACAATGGTAAAAGGTTATTGATACTTTGGCTGAAGTATTGAGCATGTTCTTCCACAGCAGAAGAAAAACAAGGGTGCTGAGAATAAAAATCAGCATTAAGGTAGAGCTCTATGGAGGTCAAAATTCTCAATAGCTCCATTAGGCTATTGTTACCCACTTCTACCAAGGACACAGAGCTATACAAGCAGTTCCCAGTAGTGTCAGATCTAAAACATGAATGAAACTTGGTTTTATTACACCTACCTACTAATATACACTTACTCAGTCACTTAGGCAAAGATGAATAAATATTAACCTAGTAATTGATAAACTTGATAGCAAAAACATCATATTCCACTTTCATGAACCATTAAGTGTAAATAATTGGCAATATAATAATAGACTGAATTATTATATAATAAACTAGTGTTCATCTTTTAAAATGTAATCAGGAAATATGGCTACTTGTATGCTTTACTGCTATATGTTTTGAATAATTATTTTTGAATTTTAAACAAAGTTCAGTGCTCAAAGCTTTGCCTTAATACATCGGGTTGTACATTTCAAAGAAGGTATTGTATTATATACACGAAGTTCACATAAGACATTATTACACTCCTCGATTCCTCTTGATTCGTATGCATAGACCGCAGTTATATGCAAATTTATTAAGCGAAATCCTATGTAAATTTCAACGTGCAACGTGTAAATTTCAACTTTATAGCTTGTGCAGCTTAACAGTTCTAACACAAATTACACAATCACCAATGAACAAATACACAAAATCTTTGTAAAATATTGTTATGTTTACCTTAAGGCCGTACAAAATTTCTTTGTTGCCTTCCGAACAGACGTCGGGATGTACGATTCCGCAGCAAAATTTCTCGTGAGGCAAAAGCTGGTGTTGTTCAGTTCGTTTAGTAGTTGCTCAGTTGAACGCTTTGCTGCGGCGTCTATTCGCTTCTTCAGATCGGCCTCGATAGTTTTAAGATATTGCCGATCGTCTTTCTCCAAAGCACATCTCACGGCGTTGTAAAGATCTGACATGATTAATAAATAGTTTTGATAATAATTTTTTTCTTTCGAGTTAAAGAATCTTTCGAGTTTTCGTTGCTGTCAAAGCTACGATGACGTCGATCAGAAAGGTCAATTGCAAGGAACCTTGCTGTGCACGCTCTCAGGTCAAGGTCAGATCACACTGATCGATCAGAAAAATACAACCAATGAGAATTCAGATAGATTTTGAATTAGCCAATTGAGTAGCCCGATTCGAGCCCCTGATCGCTTCACCGATCAGAACTCCCCACAGATCGCGCAAAAAGAGAGACAGCCAATCAGATGACTGGGATTTGATGACGAAGCGAGCAAAATTCATGCATAAGACCGCTTTTCTGCGCGCTCGTGCTCGAAGGCCTGGTCGCTGAACTCTTTTAACAACTGGATTGCCAAACATCACCTGGTGACATCACCCCAATACACTGCACGTGCTTTGCAACTGGACTGCTATTTCATTCAAGCACTTTTCTTGGCATTTTTACCTTAGTCGCGTGATCGCTCTGATCACCCCTAGATCCGCCCCTGGGGAAGGCGTACCAATTCCAGAGAACCTATTAATGTGCCCACGACGTAAAATCTGTGGTAAAGTAAACAGGTAAGTTCCAAGCTATCCGTGGTAAAGCAAAATAAGCGACTCGTAAGCAATTATGTAGTCGTGGCCGAGTGGTTAAGGCGACAGACTTGAAATCTGTTGGGATATTCCCGCGCAGGTTCAAATCCTGCCGATTACGACTCTTGATAGTCCGAAAGATGTTCATATAACACAGAGAAATTGTTTGCCACCAGGTGGAATTTCGTTTCAAAACATACGACATGATATTTTTTTTCATTTTTTAAAAAATACCAGTCAGAGCAGTTAAAATTTCTAATACTTGATGTGAAATGGTTAATATTATACCCTTTTAACGCAAATTTATGCATTCCCATTCGGTTACAAAAAAATAATGTAAATAAACATGGTGATTGGACTACAACGTAATTACCTCTTGTCAAAGGGACCTCTATTCAGAAATTATTGCTCTTTTATAGGCTTGTTTTCAACAGCAAAATGGGATATTTTCCGCACCAATTAACGGAAGTCTCTTGAACCTTAGTTTTTCATGTAATATACCGGATTTTTTTTAAAATTACACCGAAAGATAATGAACTATTTCCCCAGGTGTGGCTTGCTGGTCTAGTGGTATGATTCTCGCTTTGTTGCGAGAGGTCACGGGTTCGATTCCCGTGCAAGCCCTGATCGCCCTCATAACTTGAAATTTTTGCGCGATTGAGTTTCTTTCTTAGCTTTTAAGAAAGAAAGCAGTGTTGAACTCAAGTTGCAATCTCCCGTTAAAACTTTTCCCATGCAGCATCAATCCTATCAATATACATGCAAGGAGGAGATCTAGTATGCATAAATGTAGACGTTTTAGGCATGTCAACAATGAAGACCTTGTCAATCATCATATACAAGTACTGAACATCAGGAAAATGAATTTGTGCGACTTTTTTATAGTGCGTGGCACATTTTTCATAACCCAAGAATAATTTGTAACTCAAAAAATAATACTGTAACATTTTCAACTATCATATTACCGTATGATTACCATTGCCATCGTCTACAGGATAATCTCAGTAACGGTGTTTGTGAAAGCTACAGAATTGATCCACCAAACTTTAACACTAATATTTTTCCTTTTAGTTTTAGCTTGGCATGAAAACTATTTTTCGCCGATGATTCATTTTACCTTTTTCAAAAGTATTACGGGTTTGCCTTATTAGCTCAGTGGTTAGAGCACTGGTCTCGTAACCAGGGGTCCGGAGTTCAACTCTCTGATAAGGCTTGATTTTTTTTAACTGTGTATGGTAAGGGTGAGTAAAAGACTTAAATATTTGTGATCATTACGCATTTAATAATCGCCGTTAAAAAATTAACCTGCAAAATACTTTTTTGAAACATTGTTTACATTTCTATTTGCGCATGCTTTTTTTCTGGGTGCCTCCTTAGCTCAGGGGTTAGATCACTGATCTAGTAAACCAGGGGTCCAGAGGAGGCTTTCCACATTTCCACTTAAACTTAATAAGTATTTACGAACATGAACGAGTTTTTTGACCGGCTTCTTGTATATAACGATACTGAACAAAGTTTAGTTTGTTATCGTGTTTACAATAATCGTCTATTTTCTACCATTGCGTTTGTCTTGTCTCGGTACTAACAGTGATTTAAGATTCCTACAAGTCTTTTTCACTCAGAGTAACTTGGCTTGTAATAAATATGACATAAAAAAGATTTTATATTTCCATGCAGCATGCTATACATCGCTTTTATTGTGAGCGAAGAAATATGCGAAAAAGAAAACTTCCCGTGTTCTGCACTTGGCTTGCTGGTCTAGTGGTATGATTCTCGCTTAGGGTGCGAGAGGTCACGGGTTCGATTCCCGTGCAAGCCCTGTTCGCCTCTCTCGCTTGAACTGAAGAGAACGGCCTTTGACAACAATTCGCTGGTGCTAATTATGTTGTATTTCTTGAGAAAAAAATGTGGTACGTGTTCTCCTTCAAACTTTAGATGCACTCTCTCAACTTAATCTAAGTATCAACCTCTTACAAAGATTGTGCGCTAGGATTTTGCATCAATGTAATTATATCCACAGTGTCCACGGATGTTTTTTACGGATGCATGCCTCTTTTAGCTCAGTGGTTAGAGCACTGTCTTGTAACCGCCATTGCAGGGGTCCAGAGTTCGAATCTCTGACGAGGCTCTTTACATTTTCACCTAAACTCAATAAGTATTTGATTTTTATATTAATTCATTGTATTTTATTGTGTTCTATTGTTATCATCAACCAAGAGCAAAGCTTGTTCACATAGGTAACGTATACCTAACCTTTACACTTAGGCATGGGAAATAATGAAACTTCTTGTGTAGGCTCATCTTATATAAGTTCTAATTTGAAATAAAAAAGCGTGTAATATCTTATACTGTAGAGAACAACTAATAAAATAAAAACTTAACGTCCAGGGCCAAAACTGCTAAGGCTTGAAATCAGAATTAGCAGCCATTAATTGCAGTTGAATTGCTGTCTCGGATATGCTCTGAATGCTCAATCACTGATGCATGATCTATTTATACGCCCTTTGAACTGCTGATTTCTATCAATAATCAATTCCTGTGATAAAAGCTTCCGCCAACCGTAACCGCGAGTTCCACGAGACCCTTTGCTTTTTTTTCAGTCTTATTATAATTCCAAAATTCTGCTGGCAATTGAAAAGCAGTTGGGAAGGCGTACCAATTCCAGAGAACCTATTAATGTGCCCACGACGTAAAATCTGTGGTAAAGTAAACAGGTAAGTTCCAAGCTATCCGTGCTAAAGCAAAATAAGCGACTCGTAAGCAATTATGTAGTCGTGGCCGAGTGGTTAAGGCGACAGACTTGAAATCTGTTGGATATTCCCGCGCAGGTTCAAATCCTGCCGATTACGACTCTTGATAGTCCGAAAGATGTTCATAAACACAGAGAAATTGTTTGCCACCAGGTGGAATTTCGTTTCAAAACATACGACATGATATTTTTTTTCATTTTTT